GAAATGTGTGGATATATTTATATGTGTTGTTTTATATATTTATATATATATTTATTACATATATTTGTCTGTGTGTGTTCTATCTGTTTATAACTGTTGTGTTCTCTCCTGTCAGTAGGGTGCGTTGTTGACTGTCACACAGCTCAAACTTCGAACTGTCACCTTTAATCACTCCGTCCCCCTACAGGAGCAGTGTGGGAGTTACACCTTCATCCCGTACGTGGTGTCCCCTCAAGGTAAAGTTTTCGCCTGTGATGCTGCGACGATGAGTGGGATCCAAGACCTGATGCAGCCCAGTTTCCAGCTGGAGCCTCTGCTCACCCCCCTGGTGGAGAGACTGGTGTACCTGCTGAGCAACGTGCACATCCGGTCCAGGTCAGAACCACAGAAAAACAGATCGGCAGTGTTTGATTTCATCAAAAATTAAGAATATTTCTTTTGTGTAAATATAAAATTATATATCGTACAGGTCATATATATGTAGGTGATTTGTAATTATATTTTATAATTATTAAAATGTCTCAACACTCCAAGAAATGTCCCTGATTGCATTTGTAATTTATTAGAAAATATATATATTATATATTTTTTTATATATATTTATATTTGCAGTAAATATTTTCATTTCCATTTGCAATGCCCACATGTACCCCTAGGTGGTACATGAAGTGTTTGTGCAATTTCTGTTTCACTTACAAAATTCATCCAGATTAAACCCCGCAGCGGTCCGGTTCTGGCCCACAGGCCGTATGTTTGACACCCCTGCCTTAGACCCTCATTGATGGTACAGTTGTGTGCTGGTTTAATTCCCTCTCTCCTCCCGTCAACAGCGAGTACTTCAGGGAGTCCATCAGACACGAGATCCGTATGGCGCGGGAACGTTTCGGCGGGAAGGAGCTGAGCGAGGAGCTGAGCCGCATCCAGCAGCAAGGCCTGGACAGCGTGGAGCTGCTCAGCCCCGACATCGTCATGAACCTGCTGCTGTCCTACAGAGACATCCAGGTGAGATCTGTGTGAGACGTGTGATTGGTCAACAATAAAAACAACAACAACAACAATGTGTTTGACACACTGGAACATCCATGTCTAGGGTGGTCCACTGTAAAAATAGTGCCCTCCAGTGGTCATATTGTTGTTTGATCATTAAAGGATTGTTTAAGGGTTGGTAATTTTTCAAAATACATCTCTAATTTTTTTTGACCAGGGGTGCCCAATTGGTCCACTGTAAAAATAGTGCCCTCCAATGGTCAGACTGTGATAAGACTCCACTCACTTCACTGTTGTTTGATCATTAAAGGATTGTTTGAGGATTGGTTAATTTATCAAAATAAAATTCTAATTTTGTACACCAGGGGTTCTCAATCCCAGGTCTGTTCCCAGGTCTGCGGACCGGTACCAGTCCGTAATCATTTATTACTGGGCCGCAGTGGGACATAGAAAAAATAATCTTTCAGTGTTTCAAAATAAAATGTCATCCAGACTCTGATACTAACAAAATCAAAAAGAAAAGTCAAAAAGGTATTTTGTTTTGAAAATGTAACAATCCTCCAACAATTGGCACAGTGCTACTGGTCCACAGTAGCGGCCCCTACTGGCCGATTAGTACAAAAAAGGTTGGGGACCACTGTTTTGGACTTTATTCTGTTAATATTGGAGTCTGAAAAAAAAAGCAGAATTTTCCCTGAGTGACCCGTGTACCTGTACTGGTCTGTGAACCGGGGGTTGGGGACCCCCACTTTACAGCATTCAAAGACATGAACTGTACAAATGTGTTTGATTACGTCCATCTTCTAAAAGTTCTACATTGGACTGATGTGTGTGTATGTCTGTGTGTGTGTATTAAATGTTGTCAATAATTCATGGTCATTCTACCCGTGTGTTTCCCAGGACTATGATTCCATCATCAAACTGGTGGAGACTCTGAACAACCTGCCCATGTGTCTGGTGGCGCGACATCAGAATATCCAGTTCCACTACATATTTGCCCTCAACAGGTGACATTTGTTTTTGTCTAATTTATATCAGAGTTTTAAATCATAAAAAATAAACGTCACAGCTGCTGTACAGCAGGGTTTGATCATCACGTCTCCTTCTTCTATTTGTTTGTTTTTCTTCATCAGTAATTAATAAATGGACATAAATGTTTGATCAAATCTCCTCCTGCGTCGATTCTTGCTGTTGTTTTTCTTCCTGATTTCCTTCGACCGCCGATCACTGTGATTCATTTCAGTGATAACATCTCTTCCTGAGTCCTGAGTCGGTGCCAATCCTGTGTTCAGCTTTAATTTCCTGTCTGATTTTTTTTCCTTTCCCTCCTCCTCCTGATGTTATTAATTTTTCCCCCACGACAGGAGGAATCACCCCGGAGATCGGGCCAAAGCTCTGGACGCCATTCTGCCCATAGTGGAGGCAGGAAACAAGGTGGCATCGGACTTCCTGTGTCTGTGTGGTCGGATCTACAAAGACATGTTCATGAGCTCTGGGTTCACGGACCAGTCCAGCAGAGACCAGGCCTGCTACTGGTCAGTCCTCCACCGTCTCTGTCTCTGTCTCCGTCCTCCAGATTCTTTGGTTTTGTTCGTGCAGTCATCAGTCTCCGTGTTAATGTCCCAGGTACGGAGCGGCCTTCGAGGCGGAGCCGACGCTTCACTCTGGGATCAATAACGTGGTTCTCCTCATGGCAGCTGGACATGAGTTTGATACTTCGATAGAGCTGCGGAAAATAGGTAACAGCTCTCTTTGACTTTGAGTACTCCTCTCTTTAGGAAGACTTTTATTAACTAAGAGCTGCGGAAAATAGGTAACAGCTCTATAGCTATAATAGTATTAGCCTATTATATGGTAGCGATATGTTAGCGCTGCATTAGTATATTGTAGAAGTTCTAATTAAGGTCTGGAAATTTTGGAAAGTTTTTATCTTGTTTGCATTTTCAAATTAGAGCTTTTTGAGATTTTATTTTCTAGAATTTGTTTTAGAAAAAATCCTAATTTAGCAGTTTTGATCAGATGATGAAAAATTATGAGAAAAATGTTTTTGAATTTTTCTTTTCAAATGATTATCTTGTCTGTATGTTTCTCATTAAATTAGCGCTTTTTGAGAATTTTTTTTTTGTGGAATTTATTTAGCAAAATCTTAACTGACCATGTCTGTTTTGGCCACATTTTTTTCCAAAATTTCACATTATTTTGACTCAATCATCACTAAAGTCAGCATGTACCAGCATGTTTGAATCTTTTAAATCCCTTTACTGCCACCTACTGGAACATCTGTGTTAATTGATGTATTCTTTAAAATGTTGTTTACTGAGCTGTTGTTCATCCAGGTGTGACTCTCAGCACGCTGCTCGGTAGGAAGGGCAGCCTGGAGAAGATGAGAGACTACTGGGATGTTGGGTTCTACCTCGGAGCAAACATCTTGGTGAACGAACTCCGAAAGGTCATCGAGGCGTCGGAGAAACTCTACAAACTTAAGGCTCCGATCTGGTGAGGAAGAATGAGTTTGTTTGTCAACTTTTCTTTGCTTCGGTCGCTTCATGTTTCCCTTCACCTTCATTCCCCTTCAGGTACGTGGGCTCCATTATGGAGACCTACGTTCTGTACCGTCAGTTTGCCAAACCGCCTGAGGTTCGATCCCCCAAACAGAACACTGTGGACTTTTGGATGGAGCTTTTGCTGCAGACGTGTAAACCCACCGTCTCCACGGACCGGTGTCCAGTAAGACCACACTGCTGAGACTGGTCTCACCTGGTTAACTCCATGCTATTATACTATTAGCATATTATGTGGTAGCGTCATGTTAGCGCCACGCTAGTATGTTGTAGAAAGTTCTCATTAAGGTTTGGCTTAGCTAATCCTGCTAGCACTCCTAGGCTTCTTTGAGCTTTTCTTTTGTATTTGAATATTGAGAGTTGTACTACTGCCACCTACTGGATGTATTTCATAAAGTTAAACAGAGGATCATGTTTTTTTATGCAGTTGTGTCAGGAAGTGAAGCAGAACTCAAACCAGATAAAAGTTCTCCTCAGTCCCGAGGCTCTTTATGATGAGTCAGAACCCTGTCTTCCAGGTTCTGGTCCTTGAACCCAGTAAAGTCCTTCAGCCCGCCATCGTGTCTGTGAGTGAGGAGGATGAAAGTCGCACGGTTCAGTTGAAACACGTCACAGCGTTAAAGGTATGTAGAACCTACATACATTTAACAAGAAGTTCCTCCAGGCCCACGGCCTGGAGGAACTTCTTTCTTCCTTTTTCATTTCACTAAAATGAGTTCCAAAGATAGAACTGGAACTGGAACCTTTTTATGTAAATGTTGAATGTAAATGTTGGTGCAGTGAATGTGTCGCCGTGTGTAGATCAAATTTTTTCATGAAAAAAAAACAATGTCCGACTGTTGATCTTTATCTTTTCCCCACAAGTTATAAGACAAATATTGACTAAAAGTCTTACGTTTGTTCCCTCATTTCATTATTATTAATGTTACAGAAAATACACGGCTGTTCCTTCAGCTTCTTTCTTGTCACGACCAGTTTCTGTAAATGTTCTTTCAGTTTTTGTCACGACCAGTTTCTGTAAATGTTCGTTCAGTTTTTGGAAAGACAAATTAAATCAGAAGGTTCTAGATCCAAACCTGTTGACGAGCTTCAGTCGTTTGAACAGGTTTCTGTTCAAGTTCTGTACAAAAACGGAGTTGAAAACCAGTTGAATAAAAATCTGATCAAATCAAAGGTCACAGAGGTCAACGCTGGACGAAGTCTTTAGACTCACTTTTTCCATGTTCTGCTTCTTGCAGAAAGGCCTCCACCAGTGGACGTTCCCGGCCTCGGCCATCCGTGGAGTGAGGTAGAGTACGGAGCAGGCGAACTAAGATAAATGACATGTAAAAGTCATGCATAAAGGCTAAAATGCGAAATTGCTTTTATCACATTTTCTGCCCCCTCTATTGGGGAAACGTGGGTATTTCAAGGAAAAGGCAGAAGAATAATGATAATATAAATAAATCATATAATTTGATAATCAGATTTTTAAAAAAGCTGAACGGGCCGTCTCCGGCCCCCGGGCCTCAGTTTGGCCATGCCTGGTACAGAGTGTGTTCATGCCAGGATTCTGCTCCAGCTCTGGGTGTGTCCAAACTGTCAGAGGACCAGAACACAAACACTGTTTGAATCCCTGACTGTTTTATACCGATACGATCAAACTGAAAAGTTGACGGGGGGGGGGAGAGAGAGACAGACAAACAAATCAGGCCGGTTTGAAACCAGTTCACACCGGTTCTGCGTTTCAGATCTGTCTCAAACCGTTGGAACTTGTTTGAGTCTCTCGGTGTTTGGCTGCTCACACACTCAAACAGTCGTCCTGACTGACTGACTGTTTCTGCAGGGCTGTCCTCAGCTCAGGTTTCTTCAGCAAAACAAACAGAGAAGTGTTGTCATCAACAAAACAACATCAGTATACAGTAGACACCCTAGATACTTCTCCAAATACGAGTATTCCATGTCACCAGTCTGAAACTATTGGAAGATCTTGCTCATGTATATATATGTGTATATATGTGTATGTATATGTGTATATATGTATATGTATATGTGTATATATGTATATATATATATGTATATGTATATATGTATGTATATGTATATATGTGTATATATGTATTTGTATATATATGTGTGTATATATATGTATGTATATATATGTGTATATATATATGTATATATGTGTGTATATATGTGTATATATATATTTATATATGTATATATATAATCCTTCTCCCACCTCAGTGGCCCTGGCACTCTGTCTCCCTCTCTGGGTTATTTTACCCATTTTTTATAACAATATTTATAAAATGTTTTCTTCATTAGTATTATTTTATATTATCAATATATTTGTTTATATCTATGTTTTTTCATGTTTAAATGGTGGGGGTTAATTTAATTAATTAATAATTATATAGTATATTTCTGGGGTTTTGGAACAAATCCGACATACAGACGAGTGCTGTGGTGGAACCGATTAGACCCTGGTATCTCAGGGTCCACTGTATTAGTCTGATCAATGGTACCGTCCACGTGCTGTACTGCAGGTCGTGACCCCGAGCTCTTTGAACACACACAACAGCCGTGTATCAATACTAATCCTCCTCGTTTGTCCTGCTGCAGCGGCTCAAAGATCGACGAGCGGAGCTGCTTCCTCTACGTGCACTACAACTCTGACGACTTCCAGCTCTGCTTCCCCTCTGAGCTCCACTGTAGAGGGTGAGTTTGTCTGCGGAATCAAAAGGTTTTTGTGTCAAACTCAAGGCCCAGGGGCCAAATGGGGACCGCCAAATCATCTTGTCTGGTCCGCTGGATCTCAAAAACTCTTTAATAAAGTTCACGCAGCAGAGTTTCTTATAGAACCTGATAAATTTAAAGATTTTTTTTTTACACATTAATGAACAATATTTGTAAAAATATTTGAATAAATAATAATCAATTACCAATCGATCTGTTGCTGATGTAACTGGATGTAAAGAAAGATGTTGTGATCTAATGATTCACAATGATTGACACCATCGTTTGTCGCCCCCTGTAGGTTCTGTGAGCTGGTGTCCTCTCTGCTGCAGCAGGCCAAGGACTCGACGGACCTGGAACGTCAGACTGAAGGAATCCTGGAGGTTTGTTCCAGTCCCTCGATCAGTGACGCGGAATGTGATTTATTTTTAGTCTCGCAGAAAAAAAAAAAATAAAGTTCACGCAGCAGAGTTTCTTAACCCAATAAATTTGAAGTTTATTTTTTTACACAGTAATGAACAATATTTGTAAAAATATTTGAATAAATAATAATCAATTACCAATCGATCTGTTGCTGATGTAACTGGATGTAAAGAAAGATGTTGTGATCTAATGATTCACAATGAGTGACACCATCGTTTGTCGCCCCCTGTAGGTTCTGTGAGCTGGTGTCCTCTCTGCTGCAGCAGGCCAAGGACTCGACGGACCTGGAACGTCAGACTGAAGGAATCCTGGAGGTTTGTTCCAGTCCCTCGATCAGTGACGCGGAATGTGATTTATTTTTAGTCTCGCAGAAAAAAAAAATCATGTTGTGTCACAAGTGAGTTAGCAAGGTAGGGTGTCTTACTGGAGGGTTGCAGGTTTGAATCCCACCTATTTATTGAGGCTAGAATGGTGAGGTTGTAGTACTCCTGTCTGCCACCAGGAGGTTCCAGGTTCACACTTTGTTGTGAGTTTCCTGTCTCGTCTCGTTCTCGTTCTTACAGTACGTCTACGAGACTAACGAGAACGGTGACAAGGTGGTTCTGGGTCGGGGGACGTACGGTGTGGTCTACGCTGGGAGGGACTAGTGAGTCGCCAGATAAGGACCGAGTATAGTCCCCCCCCCCCACTGACACTATGCTGGACTGGGTGTGTGTGTGTGTGATGCTCCTGGAGTTCTTTTGGGAATTTTTTAGAACAGGATTCCAACTTTCCGTTCCTTCTGCATCGTACCGTAAACAGTTCTGGGTTCTGAGGCCTGAGCAATGATTTAGACAGAGGTCATGTGACCATCGCTTCACTCTGTGTTTCCTGTCACTGTCCTGATGAAGCAATCCTGCCGCGGTATAGAAAACAAAAAAAAAGTTTTGCTGTGGCGCAACAGCAGATGTGAGATCATTTATAGTCACTTCCTGTCTGGAGTGTAGTAATAGAACAGCCCTGTACTTTATATCAGTACCAACCAATACCAACACAGAACATGTCAAGAAGTCAAGTCTCTTTTCTACAGGCAGAATTCACAGCCCATTTTTCCTCATTGGAATTTTCAGTTACAACCTCAGCGTTTCAGGAACTTCACGACAAAGAACAGTTCTAGTTCCACAGCTTCTGGAGTCGTGTTACAGATGTGTACTGAGCCTTAATGCTAATACAGAAAAAGGAATTTGGAATCTAACGATACCATACGTATCACGATGCATGTCACGATACGATCTGATCACAATACGATAGGTATCGCGATACAGAGGCATAATATATTGTGATACTATAGGCACAACAATATATTGAGTTTTTTTTTTTCTAAGTCTTAGTCTGAGTCATTTCCAACTGTAGGAAAATTCCAGAAAACATTAGCATCATATGACCTCTAGGGACACGCTCCCTACTTTGATTTTAATTAGCATCATATGACCTCTAGGGACACAGTCCCTACTTTGATTTTAATCTGTGCTCGTCTGTGTCACTGTTAAACCTTTGTCTCTCTTTAACTAACACTTCATTGACGTGTGTACTGCGTACTGTGTACTGTGTACTGCAGGTACTCGCAGCCTCTCCACGAGGAGATAGCTTTACACAAACGACTCAAACACAGGAACATCGTCCAGTACCTGGGCTCCGTCAGTCAGGACGGCTTCATCAAGATCTTCATGGAGGAGGTGCCAGGAGGTGGGCTAGACTTCAGTCTCTAAAACCCTGGACAAACCAGGTCAACATCAGGTCTGATAAGGAGTGATGATGATGTCATTAATGTTTCATCATTACATTTCCCTGTCAATGAATCACAGTTCACACCCTGCACTGAGTCATGGTACTACTGCAGTAGACCATGAACAAAAAACCCAGACAAAGACCTGGAAGTTGGATTAAAACACACATGGGCAAACTTTGGCCCGGGGGCCAGATGCTGCTCATTTGGCTTTTCGATCCGACCCGTCAAACTTGTCAAAATAATGTTTTTAATTTTATTATTATCATTATACTTCTGTTTATTCCCTGCAATGCCCACATTCCCCCAATAGATGGCATAGAAATGGCTCAAAGCATTTTAGTTGCTTTCATGGATTTTTTTTAAAGAACTAGAACAATTCTCCTGTTGTTCTGTGTCCTGTGTTAGTACTTCAGTCTTCTGAGGCAGTGACGTCGATGTTGGAAGCTAACAATAGGAGATTTTGCAACATCCGCCGTCCAAGTTTTTTTTTCTCTTCTCAGTTACTGAGAAATCCTCTCAGAATTAGCCTCCCATTTCAACAGAAAAGATTGTTAATCACCTCTGTCGTAACAAAGTGAAGTTCTCCCCCTCGGCCTGTAGGGAGCCTGTCGTCTCTCCTGCGGTCCAAGTGGGGTCCCCTGAAAGACAACGAGGCCACCATCATCTTCTACACCAAGCAGATCCTGGAGGGGCTCAGGTATCTCCATGACAACCAGATAGTCCACCGAGACATCAAGGTGAGTGTGTTCTCAACTACACCAGACATCGTTGAAGCCCCCGCCCCCCCACCTGCAAAAAAATTAAATAATAAAAGTAAATTTGACGGTCACGTTGTGTGACCATCTTGTGTTTTACCCGTGTTCTGCCTGCAGGGGGACAACGTCCTGATCAACACCTACAGTGGAGTCCTGAAGATCTCTGACTTTGGAACCTCCAAACGGTTGGCAGGGATCAACCCGTGCACCGAGACGTTCGCAGGTGAGACGGCGTTTGTATCTGCTAAAGTCATGATACAGGACGGATGCAAAAGTCTTAGGCAGGTGTATACACCCCCCACCCCCGCAACCCACTCTTCACACATTCATAAATTATTATTATTTGAAGTTGAATAAATAACAAACAAAATAACTGATGTACAACGTCAGTCTCCCTTCTCTCTCCTGAAGTGCTCTGGCGCCCCCCAGTGAAGGTGCACCTCATATTTTTGAAAACCCCTGATGTAGAGAAGTTAATCCACAGCAACGTAGTACTGAAGAAAGTACAAACAATATTCATTCTCAAAAGGACACTTCCTTGTTGTGGACAGCAGGTGGAGCTACATGGTGGTGCAGCCAGTCTGCTAGACGTTGGGAGGTGGGACTTCCAGGGACAAGCTAAAACCCCCATTTGAAGGAATTGAACCCTCAACCTCTGATCTCCCCGGACGAGACATTAAAATCTTTTTCTGTTTGTTTTTGTCATGAAAACATCTGACGGTGGATTCCTCCACAGGAACGCTCCAGTACATGGCTCCAGAAATCATAGACCAGGGTCCTCGGGGTTATGGGAAGCCGGCGGACATCTGGTCCCTGGGGTGCACCATCATAGAAATGGCAACGGGCAAAACGCCCTTCCACGAGCTGGGAAGTCCTCAGGCGGCCATGTTCAAGGTAAAGGTCAACGTGAAAACAGCCAAAAAGTTTGTTTGGTTTTTTTTTTTAGTCATGGGAACGGACATTTATGCCGCCCTCTACAGGCCAGTTCTGTTCCCTGATGGTCTCTGTGTGTTTATATGTAGAAATAAATTAATACATTTTATTGACCTTAAATATATACGTGTCCAGGTGGGAATGTTCAAGATCCACCCCAAGGTTCCGGAGTGCATGTCAGACGAGGCCAAAGGCTTCATCATGAACTGTTTTGATCCAAACCCGGACAACAGAGCCACGGCGACCGAGCTGCTGAAGGACGCCTTCCTCAGGTTGTCACCCAGAAAAAAAGCCAAACCTCAGCAGGAGTGTGAGCCCAGCGACGGCCTCCAGAGTAAGACGATAAGTGATTAACAAGGTTTCATCAATAATTTAGACCAGAGTCACGTCATGGTTTTCTCTTGGAAATAAATATCAACAAAAAAATTTTTTAAATTTTAAGCACCATCATTTAATTTTTTTTTTAAGAAGTTATTTGTAAAACAGGCGTTTTACAGGACTACTTATGCAGTCAGTTAAGGTGCCACCTGCTGGAAAGTAGAGCTACTGCAGGCCAAACAAACCCCAAACAATTAAAATTATAAAAAAAATTGATTAAAAAAAATAGGAAAAGAAAATTGTCATTATTTGATTGACTCAGAGCTGAATTTTATTTGAGCTTTTTTATCATCATTTTATTTTTATTTTATTGTGTATTTATTTGTATGTTGGTGTTTTGGATCAACAGTTATGGTTGCTGTCTACTAATGTTTGGGGTCAGGTGTTCATGCTAAGGGACCGGGTCCTCAAAATGTCCCGAGCCGTCAGGTAAACATTGACCATGTGACCCATACGTTGTTCACTGCAGGCGACTATCAGCGCAGCCTGTCTGTTCCCATCTCCATCCTGGTGGAGGACACGGACTTGTACTCCACCGACCTTTCCTGCTCGCTCGACCTCAGAAGACAACAGTCGGCCCTCAGAGAACAGGAAGTCTCCGAGAGCCC